GTAACTTTTCAATTACATGTCAACTAACTGTCATTAGAGTATTAGTAGACTAGAGTATTAGTACGATCAGCTTAATATCTGATAACACTTTATTTATTTGGTCCCCCAACAGACATTCAACTGACTATAAGTAGCTTGGCGACTACAAGTAAACTTATTCTCCTAATCCAAAGCCATTCACTTTGAAATTGTTCCACACCAGTGATGCACGGGTTGATCCAAAATGAGCGGGTGCCTGCGCCGCGGTCACCCGCGGTTACCCGCAGTTACGGGTCATCCAAAAATATTTTTAATGATATTCGGGTCGCGGTCGGTCAGGTCGTTTGGAAAAAAATGCCAATTAAACCTTTGTATTTATATAGTACTAGATAGAATTTTCTATGAAATATATAGGCCGAATTTATTTATTGGCTGAATAACTGGCACGAAGATGACACACAAGCTCAGTCTAAACAGTTCTCAGTTCTGTACTGGTGTGATCCGAGAACCGCTGTACCTCTGCGTTCGTTACTATACGCGGATGCGCAGTATCAGCAGTATCAACAACATGTCTCAGTTCAGTGAACTGTTAGAGTTACTGGAGTAAAATATAATTTGGGATATTGGTTTATTTCAACTCGGAGGGACTGTCAGGCATGTCTGAAAGTGAGTAACTGTAGTAACTTGTGGATCAGCACTGACGCAAGACGTGAACTGATGCGAATGATTCAGTTCGATTTAGCGTACTGGTTCGACCGGTTCATTAAAAAGAACCGATTCGTTCACGAACCGGCCATGTCTATGATCACTAGTCTGCAGAGAGATGGAGGCGTCAAGAGAAAAGGTGAAGACTGGGGAGTGGAAGCTCCGCAAATACACAAATAGAAAGAGTAAGTGTGGGAGACATTTACCGAAATAATGAAAGATGATGACCAAAGTGCTGCCTTTGTTATATGTAGGCTACGTCTTCTTGCGATGCTGTGTTGTTACACGTTTATGGCCCAATGACGCTACGATGAGCATGTACTACTTTTAAAAAATACGGTCAGGAAGAGGGTCGGGTACAATATTTTCTTACTTTTTTTGCGGTCCGAGTAGCGGGCGGGTAGTTGAAAACGTTGGTAGTGTGCGGGTTGTTTATACATTGACCCGCGCATCACTGTTCCACACGGCTGACATGTCTCCCCATCTCCCCGCTCTGAGCTGCAAAAGGAGCCTGGGGGTGGGCACTCGGCGCCTGTGATTAACCCATTTCTCAGAACATGGTATCGGTCCCCGGTATCGGGGGACTTTTAACGAGTACGAGTACTGTAGAAAATGTGGTATCGAGGCCGATACCAGATACCGGTATCGGTGCATCCCTAGTTTAAACATTTGATATGTCATCTATGTTGTATTCTAAATATAATATTGAAATTTGAAACTTCCACATCATTGCATTCTGTTTTTATTCACAATTTGTACAGTGTCCCAACTTTTATGGAATTGGGTTTGTATTTTCACTAGTAAGAATTGAGTTCGAGAGCTCTCTACTTGTATTTTCACTAGTACGAATTGAGTTTGAGAGCTCTCTAATTGTATTTTCACTAGTACGAATTGAGTTCGAGAGCTCTCTAATTGTATTTTCACTAGTAAGAATTGAGTTCGAGAGCTCTCTAATTGTATTTTCACTAGTAAGAATTGAGTTCGAGAGCTCTCTAATTGTATTTTCACTAGTAAGAATTGAGTTCGAGAGCTCTCTACTTGTATTTTCACTAGTATGAATAGTTTGAGAGCTCTCTACTTGTAATTTCACTAGTACGAATAGAGTTTGAGAGCTCTCTAATTGTATTTTCACTAGTAAGAATCGAGTTCGAGAGCTCTCTACTTGTATTTTCACTAGTATGAATAGTTTGAGAGCTCTCTACTTGTAATTTCACTAGTACGAATAGAGTTTGAGAGCTCTCTAATTGTATTTTCACTAGTAAGAATTGAGTTCGAGAGCTCTCTACTTGTATTTTCACTAGTACGAAATGAGTTTGAGAGCTCTCTAATTGTATTTTCACTAGTAAGAATTGAGTTCGAGAGCTCTCTACTTGTATTTTCACTAGTAAGAATTGAGTTCGAGAGCTCTCTACTTGTATTTTCACTAGTACGAATAGAGTTTGAGAGCTCTCTGCTTGTATTTTCACTAGTACGAATTGAGTTCGAGAGCTCACTAATTGTATTTTTACGAGTACGAATTGAGTTCGAGAGCTCTCTAATTGTATTTTCACTAGTAAGAATTGAGTTTGAGAGCTCTCTGCTTGTATTTTCAATAGTAAGAATTGAGTTTGAGAGCTCTCTGCTTGTATTTTCACTAGTATGAATTGAGTTTGAGAGCTCACTAATTGTATTTTCACTAGTAAGAATTTAGTTCGAGAGCTCTCTAATTGTATTTTCACTAGTAAGAATTGAGTTTGAGAGCTCTCTGCTTGTATTTTCAATAGTAAGAATTGAGTTTGAGAGCTCTCTGCTTGTATTTTCACTAGTATGAATTGAGTTTGAGAGCTCACTAATTGTATTTTCACTAGTAAGAATTTAGTTCGAGAGCTCACTAATTGTATTTTCACTAGTACGAATTGAGTTTGAGAGCTCTCTACTTGTATTTTCACTAGTACGAATTGAGTTTGAGAGCTCTCCAATATTATTTTCACTAGTAAGAATTGAGTTCGAGAGCTCTCTAATTGTATTTTCACTAGTAAGAATTGAGTTCGAGAGCTCTCTAATTGTATTTTCACTAGTAAGAATTGAGTTTGAGAGCTCTCTGCTTGTATTTTCAATAGTAAGAATTGAGTTTGAGAGCTCACTAATTGTATTTTCACTAGTAAGAATTGAGTTTGAGAGCTCTCCAATTGTATTTTCACTAGTAAGAATTGAGTTCGAGAGCTCTCTACTTGTATTTTCACTAGTACGAATAGAGTTTGAGAGCTCTCTAATTGTATTTTCACTAGTAAGAATTGAGTTCGAGAGCTCTCTAATTGTATTTTCACTAGTAAAAATTGAGTTCGAGAGCTCTCTAATTGTATTTTCTGAAGTACGAATTGAGTTCGAGAGCTCTCTAATTGTATTTTCACTAGTACGAATAGAGTTTGAGAGCTCTCTAATTGTATTTTCACTAGTAAGAATTGAGTTCGAAAGCTCTCTAATTGTATTTTCACTAGTACGAATAGAGTTTGAGAGCTCTCTACTTGTATTTCCACTAGTACGAATTGAGTTCGAGAGCTCTCTAATTGTATTTTCACTAGTAAGAATTGAGTTCGAGCTCTCTAATTGTATTTTCACTAGTATGAATAGAGTTTGAGAGCTCTCTACTTGTATTTCCACTAGTACGAATTGAGTTCGAGAGCTCTCTAATTGTATTTTCACTAGTAAGAATTGAGTTCGAGCTCTCTACTTGTATTTTCACTAGTACGAATTGAGTTCGAGAGCTCACTAATTGTATTTTTACGAGTACGAATTGAGTTCGAGAGCTCTCTAATTGTATTTTCACGAGTACGAATTGAGTTCGAGAGCTCTAATTGTATTTTCACTAGTAAGAATTGAGTTTGAGAGCTCTCTGCTTGTATTTTCAATAGTAAGAATTGAGTTTGAGAGCTCTCTGCTTGTATTTTCACTAGTACGAATAGAGTTTGAGAGCTCTCTACTTGTATTTCCACTAGTACGAATTGAGTTCGAGAGCTCACTAATTGTATTTTCACTAGTAAGAATTTAGTTCGAGAGCTCAGTAATTGTATTTTCACTAGTACGAATTGAGTTTGAGAGCTCTCTACTTGTATTTTCACTAGTACGAATTGAGTTTGAGAGCTCTCCAATTGTATTTTCACTAGTAAGAATTGAGTTCGAGAGCTCTCTAATTGTATTTTCACTAGTAAGAATTGAGTTTGAGAGCTCTCTGCTTTTATTTTCAATAGTAAGAATTGAGTTTGAGAGCTCCCTGCTTGTATTTTCACGAGTGCGAATTGAGTTTGAGAGCTCACTAATTGTATTTTCACCAGTACGAATTGAGTTTGAGAGCTCTCTTCTTGAATTCTTACTCGTAAAAATGAAATTTATGATGAGTAAGGCTGGGTACAATTTAAGCTAAAACGGCTTGCCATTGATATCAAGAATCGTTACTAGTGAAAATTTAATTTCTGATATCAAAAATTGCCATTGTTACTTGTATAAATCTAATTCCTGATATCAATAACTATATCTTGTTGATATCAAGAGTTCATTTCCTGGAAATGAATAAAAGTTTAACGGCTCACATCATCAGCAGCAGTGAGTGTGAGTTCAGTTCTGGGTCAGTCATCTCCACACGGGAGAGGGTCACTCACTAAATCACCAGCTCTGAGGTCTAGGGGTCGGGTCAAAACATCTATTTTTAAATGCTAGCCCCCTTTTCCACATCTCAGAAACACCTGACATATGCATACATGCTCCTCTCATGCACATCTGGATAAGGCTGTCATGATCACTTATAGTGTGAACTTAACATATATCTGACGAAACACTCATTGGACTGTTTTGTTGTTGTAGTAAACAAATACACTTTCTTCAGGTTTCTTTGATGAATAAAGTGCATTATAATTGTCACTGCAGTTACTTTTGATCAATGTTATGCATCCTTGAGGAGTAAAAATGTATTTACCAATTTCTATTGGGGAAAAATTTATATATTTAAGTTGCAGTTGATAAAATAATTAAGCAGGCAATTATGTAACAATTAAACCATGCCTACATCAGGCACAACAGTCATGTTTAACTGCCACATTTTTAATAAACCATACGCTTATTCATTAGTTTAATTGATACCATGCATATTCATGGACATTTTTATATGATAATACACCATGTAAATATGCCAGAAAAAACTAAAAAGATACTACTTTTCACACGTTTCATAGACTTCAACAGTGCATTCAAAAATTCACCAGTAAAAGATGTACTCAAGCTGCATTAACATAACAGCAGATCATCATACACGTATGATCATGATGACCATCAACATGACTCACCTTCAGTCCTTCACTGGGCAGCCTGTAGCCAAACCGAGCCGGCAGGTCATCAAAGTTCTCCGTTTTATTGTCGAACGAATACTGAAAAATAAACGCAGCCATTAATTATTGTCCGAAACCATATGTATATCAATTTACTGTTGCAGTACGAGTGTTGGACACTCACAGCTGAGATGTCAGCCTCCACGGGCAGAAGATTGAGGAAGGCAAATATCTGCACCGTGAAAATGGTGTAAATCTGTGTGGCAGAGAGCATCAGCATCCCCAAAGAGAGCAGCATCTTAAGATCTGCTTCAGTTACACCTGCGAATACAAAGAACTGATACATTACACGTCAACAGGAAGTCCCCTTCAGAACCATTTCCTGTTTCAGAGGGCCAATTCCACCCCGTCTGTCCGTTCACAGGAAGCAGATAGGGGAAAAAACTGGGCACTGGTGAAATAATACTTATAATATAATCAACTATTAGCAATTTGTTTGCAAAAAAAGAAGGGGGTTGACATTAACACCCACCAAATGTGTGTGTATTTCATCAGTGGCATGTAACGCAGTCGCTATTGTAACGCAATATATACATTTTACAATTGCAGTCTTTTAAAAAGGCACCTGAAAAAATAAAGTGTCATGTAGTATTGTCAAAAATATTGATTTTTCGAATATCAATACTGAAATATTTGAGTTTTGCTTCCAAAACTCATTTTCTGCTGAATATATACACAAGCTGCTCTTGAGTCACACATAAACCCGCCTCCCCTCACTCACTCGTTTCATTTACTCCGGAAGAATATTGTTGCTGTTACAGAGCTTGAATTTCAACAAGGGATCGCATCTATTGTTCATAATTTTACTAATTTCAGCAGATTTTGTGCTCACACCTAAAGTAAAGCTGCCTCTCAGCACTAAATTGAGCTGTTTTTCAGTGAAATACACACAAAATAATGTCAATACGCCGGTCTTGGCGAGTATTCCCATCAACACAGTCAGTTGTGTTTTAATTAGATGAACATAAAGAGTTTGTGTAACAGTATAATGGATCCGTGCGTCAGCTCTTAAAGTGACAGCAGCCTAATATTCATTCTGCAAAATTATGAGATAATATTAAAAATATCTATATGGCAGTTTTTCCCCATGGTATCGATGACAAAACTGTGGCCTGTGGAAATGCCGGGTGGCTAATAACTTTGGAAAACCACTAGCCAGAGTGAGCTAAAAAAATAATAATCAAGCCATTTATTTTTTGAGAAAGTTTCTTTTGGCCACGTTTGCAGTTACAGGGCTAATGGGACCGTGATAAAGAGCCAAACCTTGACCCTTGTCAATTTCTTTCTCAACAATGGTGTGAATTTAAGGCTGAACTACCAAACAAATCTATATGTGAAATGCCGTTTGTTGTCCTTATCAAAGGTAAGCGACGCCTCTATTAGACCACGCAGACCCATTTAAGCATTAAAACAGCAATAGTAGCAAATGGGTCAATGACGTGACGCCTAAATTTTCTGTCCGACTGCATTTTTTCAGGCAAAAATGGGTTTAAATGCCTATAAAGATACTGCATATTTGTAGTACCTCTCTCATGTATGTACTCACTTTAACTTTTCAAAAACCTTTTACTTATTTGTTATTATTTTGTTATTTAAAGTGTCAAAACATCATGTGGTGCGACCGTCCGGCCATAACTTCTGTTTTGAAAACATCTTTGAAATTACTCTGAATTAATTCAAATTTATATACTGCACTATTTGGCATGATTTCCAAAATGTTTTGTGATCCTTTAAAAAAATTCTAAGCATTTGCATTTATATTCCCATCATAATATACAAACAAACTTTGTCCGATGATGACTATTTTATGAAATATCATGTGGTGCGACCATCAAAGAACTACCATTTTGGGACTTATATGTTGAAAACTATTCAAACACAGGAAGTTACATCATAAACCAATTTACCAAGGACCCATGGAAGCAGCAAGCAGGCTTTTAATTCACTCAAATTGGAAAAAAAAATAAACCTTTGTAATGGTTGGTATGTAGTTGCCAAACTTGGATGTCATGTGGTGTGACCTCAAAAAAAATTAATATTAAAGTTATTTCTACAAATATATATTTTTATTATAAATTTCATAGTGACCTTTTTTGGCAAGCTAGCTTGTTTTGTTTTGGTGGCCATTTCTGTGCCTGTAAATTATGAATGAATTTGAAAATGTCATGTGGTGCGACCAAATATCACATGGTGCGACCACTGCAGACTGTTTTCAATGATAGATATATGTCCTAGATTGGCAGTTTTATGCTTTTATATTCAATCGACGGTTTATTTTAAAAAAGTACTTTACTTTAGTATCATTTGGAAAAGATTTTTATGCAATTTGGGATTTTTTAAAATATATTTCAGACAGTTTATGTTCACTCTTTGTACAATATGAGAAAAATGCAAAAAAAAAATAGAGCATGTAATTTCAGTTTAGTAATACTGCATTTATTTGTAGTGTATTTATTATTGCCTATTTATTTATATAAAACTATTTTAATCTATTTTACCAGATGCCACTGCCTGCCAAGCGAAAAAATTCTTACCCTGCAGCAAGAGCGGAGTAGAGAAGAAGAGTGAAATATTATTACAGTTTAAAATATCTGGTTTATATGTGAATATATAGTAAACTTTAATTTATTCCTGTGATCAAAGCTGAATTCTCAGCATCATTACTCCAGTCTTCAGTGTCACATGATCCTTCAGAAATCATTCTAACATGTAACCCTAGACCATAAAACCACTCAATGGGTCAATGTCATATGGATCACATCCATCACACAATTTTTTTAAATTAAGATTTATACATCATATGAATGCTGAATAAATAAGCTGTCTATTGATGTATGATTTGTTTAGATATAACAATATTTGGCCGATACAACTGAAAATCTAGAATCTGAGGGTGCTACAAAATCTAAACATTGAGAAAATCGCCTTTAAGGTTGTCCATTTATGTTTGCAATATTGCTATATTCACTCACAAAAATAAATGTTTATACATTTCTGTTAGGACATTTACAAAATATAAAACATCTTTATTTATTATATATAACATTATTATTTGTTAGAAAGAAATTCTAAGTCAAGTTAAATTAAATGGTGCACTTGTGTTTGTGATGTGATTTTTATATAAAAAAAAAGTTTATTAAATTTTAATGTTCAAGAAAATTCTTTGAAATTTGTATAAAATCTGGTTTAAATCATTTTTATGTATAAAATGTATTGTTCATTGATCTCTTTAAATAGATTTTTAACTATATAAGGTCTTCATGTCATTTGGAGCGACCACTTGTCATGTGGTGCGACCAATAAAAGCAATCACTGTATTAAATTAAAAAAATATATATTTTATTTCTGTGGCTGAAATATGAATCACAGATATAGTATGATTCAGGAAATTAGATTTTTAAAACATTTCTATCAGTTATATGTGATTTATAGGAAAAATAAGTCTGTTAACTAGAATTAAGAAGGCAACTCAGAAATTATAGAACAAAAAATGAGATCATTATTTACAAAAACTCAAAAGAATTGCAAATACTTGGTTTCTAAACACTTTACTTACTAAGAACTTGTAAAATAATGTTTAAGCATGTTAAAGAAATTAATAAATTTTAAAATAAATCACGGTCGCACCACATGACATTTTTTAAGGCTAGGGACAATTCATCTAGATGAAAAAACACTAAAATCACTTAAATTCAATTTTTAAAATGAATTTAGGTGTACACAACATCCTTAATGTTTGAACAATTGCAACAGATATTATTATTTTTAGTATTTTAAAATTGGCCTGTGGAAAATCCTTATACGTCATTGACCCAAATATGTAATGTACTAAACTGTGTTTATACTAATGATAAACCAATACAATAAAAAATGTAATACAAAATACAAAAAAATTAAGGGTAAAAAATAACTGAGCTGGCCATCAAAGGATACGGGGCAAAACAGCTGACGACATCTATAATTGTACTTAATTAGTTCCTTTTATTTAAAAAAACAGTTCATTGTACAGTTTTTTAGACTAACTTACAGATAAACAGACTTTTGAAGAAAAAACAAGTTTATTTAACCTTACATAAAGCCCTGTATGACATTCATTAAATGTTTATCTGATCTACTTAACTTATCTGATCATGCAAAAACTTCCCTTTTATTCTCTTAACAGCATATTGTTCAAACACCGGACTGCAAAAATTAAATAGTCCACCACTCAAAACGATTACATGCATGATAAAGCACAAGACCGTGAACTGACATCTGCATTATTTAATCTCGAACTGACTTGTAATGTCGCAAATCACATTGGTCTGTGACTGTGTTAGCACGCTGGCTAACACTAGCTTAACGATCTACTTTAAATCTACACACGTTACCAAAATCTGCACGTCAACAAGCCATTTTAAAACATGTCGATGTTCACGCTGACACACCAAAGGAGAAAACTATCAAAGAGAACCGTAAATAATCCAAACGACGTGACTGTGCCCCTATCAGAAAAGAGAAAGATACAAAAAAAAAAAAATCAAACTACAGGATAAATCACTTACCATTACATTAGATTGAGCGCGTTGGTCCTGGTATATAATAAACCCCAATGACATGAGTCAAATTATAGGCTTTAAACTGCTTCGTACGAGCTCATCTGATCGGCAGGCCAGACTGAATGTCAACAGTGTGATCCAAACACACACACACACTCACACACACTCCTGCTGAACGACACATAGCGCCCTCTAGCGCTCAGGATCAACCAGATTGACTTGTGTTATCACTGGGAGAGTGTTGGGGTAACACTCGTTACAAGTTATGTAATCAGATTACTTTTTCAAGTAACTAGTAAAGTAACGCTAGTTACTTTTTCACATTTATTGCCTGATAGACAGTTCTCCTGTCCCCATATTGAGACAAATAAAGTGAGGTGTTATGTGTGTGTGTGTGTGTGTGTGTTGTGTAAACATGATGGGTAAAATGAAAGTAAAATGTAAAATGAAATGAAACAGTAAAATGAAATCTCAAAATTGTACCCAAAACTTTCATGATTAACTATATTAAATGACACAAATTTACTCAAATCTCACTTTATTAAACAATGTCTTTGCTGTTGACCATCAATGAGCTATTTTAACCATACTAAAAGCAGAAATGACTTTAGATTATATTTAGAAATAAGAGAGTTGCACTTCTCCTGTCTCCTATAGTTCTGTAAGGCAGATTATCAGCAGCTGTGAGGTTTGCTGAGCGCCGTCCTCAACCGTACGGGTGTAAATATTTCCTTCAGCCTGACGCGTGTTCATTTCACTTTTGTTGTGAAAGGGCCTTAACATTTGCCCAACATATAACTTTTTGTTGGTGTTGTTAAAAAACAAACAAGCCCAGCCCAGGTGAGAAAAAGTAACATAGAAGTAATGTAACGGATTACTTTTCGTAAAAAGTAACATTTTTGTGAGTAATACAATATTGTAATGCATTCCTTGTAAAAGTAACTTCCGCTGCTGGGAGACAGAGCCATATTCTGCATATTCGCCTCTGAGTAGATCAATTTATGATGGAAATATGCTAAATTTTACATTTCTAGGTGTAAAAAATGTGTTTGCATACAAATGCTAACTGTAGTCAAGTGCATTTCTACTAAATATAGTTATAATTATATATTATAAATATAATTTAAGTTGATATAAATAATCATATACTATTTGTGGTGTCACCACGGTTAAAATTTATTCTATGTTTTTTTTTTAAATCATTTTATTTTGCTCTCTTTCCTATATTAGTGTTCCTGTTTTGATATTATCTGCTTTAATCTGTATGGTCCCGTTTTTTGCACACACACACACACACACACACACACACACACATATAAATATACAATAATAAATTAATATATATATATATATATATATATATATATATATATATATATATATATAAATGAATATATAAAAATATATATAAAAATAAATGAATAAATATACATAAATATATACAGTATACATATATAAATATACAGTATATATACTGTATATATATATATATATTTCATATATGCATCACAGCCTTGAAAGAAGTTGATGAACACATAACACTATTTTAAAATCCATGATTCAGTGTCAAGCTTGTGTAAAATTATTCTCAAATCTTTCTTTTATTACAAAAGAAAGCACTATACATACTTACAGCATTTATTTTACAACAAGTATGCTTTAGTGGTTAAAATAGATTTCACTTTCAACTTTTGTACGGTCAACTTAAAATTTTAATCAAATTAATAAATTGTACTCATGTAATACAAAAACAAACCAACAATCTAATAAAACCAACCTAATTCTTCAGAAAATGGCACTGTAGAAGATAATGAACATAATAAAGCAAACATTTCATCCACAACTGGTTACGCTCGGCTAAAGTAAAGGGGGGAAACAAGACGCCCGTGCTTCACATTTAAACTAATATATACAGTCCACTGAATATATCCAGGGTGCAGAAACATGTTCAAATGCAGCCAATAAGAGCTACTAAAGTAGGAAATCAGATTATGTACAGTGAGGGCCATACACAGTTGGTACATTCAACACTTTCCTCTAGTGTTCACACAACTTCACAGCCGATAAAAAGACCAAACACACAGGTCATATTTCACTCAAACAAATAAATTAATAGCACTTCGCATTTTTTCACGGTCAAAATATTTCATGATAAGTGTGGATGTTTCTAAAATGTGATTATTACTAAGTGTAATATAGTAAAAAAATGTTTTTATATTTTTAACGAATACTTAGACAATGCCTAAACACCTTATACTTTTATATTAGGGCTGTGCAAAAATGAATTTCGATTACTCGCATCCAAAATAAAAGTATGTGTGTACATAATATATGTGTGTGTGCTGTATATAATTATTTTGTATATATAAATACACACACATGCATGTATACATTTAAGAAAATGTGTTATTCATATATAACATATTTATATAATATAGATTATGTATTTATATATATATATACAGAATTTAAGCGCAAATAATTCTTAAATATATATGTATGCATAGGTATTTATATACAAAATAATTATATACAGCACACACAAATATATTATGTAAACACAGACTTTTATTTTGGATGCGATTAATCGCAATTAATTTTTGCACAGCCCTACTTTATATCTTACCGATTTATTTATAGTTATTGCAGCAAAAAAAATGTGGGTAATTGTCATGGAAACGTCAAAAATATGTTTTTCCCCTTCTGGTTGTGGAGTGAAATATGACCTGGCACTCAAAAACATCATAAATGGAGATCAACAACTCAAGATATGTTCCCCCTGGATTTAAAACGCATTAATACTGAATAAAACACCTTTGTTCTGGCCACTTTATAAATCCCCCATTCTTTCTTCAGTTTCCACTGGTCGCAAACACACAAAACAGTCGACATGTGCTCGGGTCCACAGACCGAAAATCCTGAAACTCTCGGTGTCGCGGCGTCCATTACGCAGTTCGAGAAAGCGAGGCTTCCGGCTCCAAGCTCGCAGTGTGGAGGAAGAGACCCACGGACGCCCTTTAAAAATCTGCACACAGACCAAACGCATACACAATATACAGCCCTTTGGACGTTTCAAGAAATCTAATATTTGGAAGAAAACAAAGAGGTGATAAAAATGACAATCGCTTACAATATTAAATGTGTGTGCGCACAAGCAAATTCAGTGAAAATAACAGTTGTTTCGAACAAAACTTGCCATTCTTGTACCTAACAGTGAACTAAACAAGCCGTGATCCTGCAGCACCAGCCCTTTCGGTACGTTGTCATGCAGTGCAAACGTGAGTCAGTGTTTTTCCGTTACAGCATCACTAACAAGTGGCTAAAGCTGGTGTTTTCCTGAAGCCAGGTGACTTCCTCCCAGCGATCGACATGTACAGTATAGTTTGGCACAGCAAGCCATCCTTCCCAGACGTTGTTGTACTATGATCATGTCGAAATCCAAATTATAGCAGCGTATTAAAATAATCGCAAGGGTTTAAGATATCGTAAAACTGCTCATTGAGTAACAAAGGCCATTCAGGATGTGATGATGAGGGCGAAAAATGATATATTTTTAGTCATGATGTGGTATTCAAACTGTAGACAATCCCCATGGCAGTGCATTACTCAGAAGGCATGTCTTTCCAAACCTGCAGATTCATGATGCTTATAAACTGGTACACAGGCTGTTGAGCGTGACCAGTCGCCATTTAATTGAATGGAGAGAAGGTCAGAAACTGCAAAATAAATGTTCACGAACAGCCATTAAACCCAACTAACTTCACAACAAAAAGATTGAGATCTTAAAAGCGATCTCGAAAATGAAGGAGATCATCCCAAAAGAAAGAAAGATTCAACTGAAGAAACTTCCAAACCGCAAACCGTTTTGAAGTTGTACTCAAATCGCATCCGACGTCAGTCTTTCGGACACCCAGCGGTGATAGTGCAGACGTCCCTATGAAATCCTGAAGTAAAGTTGCGTGTCTGTGTATAAACGTGAACCGAAAAATGATCTGTTATCTCTCCACCTACCAACACGAGTCCATGAGGAGACGCAATCGTCCTTCAAACGTCTCGTTACACCTCAGTGTTCCTGTGTGTGAACCCCTCGCAGCAAGGCAGTAATAAATACAATGGCAGTCTGATTGCATGGCATGAGTGATCCCTGGAATATCAGTGCGAGTGAACGGTCACACTGGCCTCGGGTTTCACAGGTCAGTCTCCTTTGGGATTGTCCATATTGACCACCCGCAGCTCCGTGAGCGTGGCGCCACTGCCGCCCGTGGGCTGCTGGTTTATCAGCATCTGCAACGACACACACAACACCGTGAGGTCGCATCTTCACTTTAATCATACTCTTATCTACAACTGTGTTTGAGTGTCAAATTAAAAACAGCGGTTGCAATGTTTTGAGAACAAACTAGTTTTGAAAATAATGTTTCATGGCATGTTTTGAGGATGCCAAAGCAAGAATAAAGGCCTCGTGACTAATCAAAGGGCGCCAATGTGAGTGTGCACACCGACATGAAAAACGTTGTGCTTTTGCTCACGTGTCTGGGCTTCTGAAGCTGCAGTAAAACACAACATGGGGGCACTCAAATACAAAACGGTCTTGCGTTACAAAAATCAAGGCTTGTTATGGGAATAAAATCATAATATGTAAACAATAATAATGGCTTTGTGTTACAAGAATAAAGGCATGACGTTACGAAAATATAAAAATGTAACTACAAGAATAAAGGCAAAAGGTTACAAGAATAACACGGGACATGACAAGAAAAAAGGCATAATATTATAAGATAAAAAAAATCATAACATTACAAGAGCAAAGTCACAAATGCTACGAGAACAAAGGCATAATGTTACAAGAAAAAAATTAACATTAAAGATTAAAGAATAATGGCATTGTGTAAAAAAATAAAAGGCATAATGTTGCGGAAATATAAAAATTAGGGCTGTCAACTTCAGTCGTTTGGTCGACTGACATTCTTATCGGTCGACCAGTTGTATTTTTTTACCAATAGAAAGCATTTCTCAATGATTTACTCCTTGATATTTATTCCTTTATACGCAAGTATTTATTACTGTATTCTAAATATAATTAGCCTATGTTTTGTCCCCGACTTTAAAATGCTTTAATTTAGGCTATTTTTGTAACTGCGCCACAGTTTAGCGCACACACATAATACACTCGGGAACCGCACGTGTGGCTGGCTGCGCTGCTGCTCGCGCTCGGTAAGGGATGCTGTATTCATTCAGTTAGAACGCTGCTTGTTTTGGCTTTAGTCGACAAAATGTCCAGGAAATCTAAATCTTTTGTCTGGCTGCATTTTAAAACAAAGACGACGAATGTGGAGGGAGGCGACCGCGTTGCTCCATTATGAGTGCGCAAGTCGCGCGCCTACATTTGAAATCGAACTTGAGCGCGCAAAAGACGTGAGCAGCCTTTTAACGGCTATATCATGCGACTCAATAGATTGTGTTTTCTTAATGTTTTCGTTTTTATTTGTACACTTGACGCATTTGAAAATAGCCTAAATAATGCAACAAAACGAAAATAAACCTATACGCGGTCCTACAGCCTATTATTAGGATTGTTTTTAGGCTATTTGGGTTTTTTTGTGTTGTTTAAAACGCCTTGATCATCAGGACGAAGGTTAACCCATAGCTTTGAAAGTGAAGAATATAAAGCCTGTATAAACGAGAGCTTTTGTTGGGTTTTTTCATTATGTGGCAGATGCAGCATGTGGTGTGGTCAGGTACGCGATTGTGACTGTTACTATAGACCGAGGACGGAGCTCTTCACTTTTTGCAGTTAAAAAAATCACTTAATTTTCAAAGAATTGTATTATTATTATAGTTTTATTTATTTGTGATGTTTTTTCATTGTTGTTTATAAATGTTCAATGACAATTGTTTAAAAAATGTTTAATCAAAACATCACGGTTTTTTTTTTTTTTTTAGTTGACTAATCGTTGCGCAGGACAAGACTTTGGTCGACTAAGGATTTCTTTGGTTGACTACAGCCCTAATAAAAATGTAACATTACAAGAATAAAGGCATAATATTATGTGAATAAAGGTATTGTGATACTAGAATAAAAGTGTAACATTACTGCCATAACATTATGCCTTTACTTTTGGAAAGTAGTTATTATTTTTCTTGTAACTGAATATATTGTCGGGTATAAACAAAAAAAACAATATTATTTGATTCAAGATAACTAATCTTTTTTTTCTATTAGCTAGAATGTATCAGAAGCTTCTTTGACATGCAACCCAATAACCTTTTAGATACAAAGCAGTTACATTTACAGAGAAAGCTGTACATGTTCAATTATATAGTATTAGTCAACAAAAGTTTCATGTAAAGAAATGCTCACTGTTTTAATATATTACCGAATGAAGCGGAACGGCTGAAACTGGGATCTGCACAGTTCCTGGAGGTCCAGTGAGGAACATCTGAGGAACTGCACCTAAACACAACAAATCACTTTTTAATACGTTCCATATCGATATCAAAGACAATCTTTTCATTATACCAATACCAACGAGGCATCAATACACCAATGGGCCGACTGACCTGAGTCTTGGGCCTGTGTGTGGGACACGTGCATCGCGGCGTGCGACTGTGGGAAGGTGTTGAGCACAGTGAGACCCCCGTCGGCCAGGCCAGAGGTGGATGTGGCATACATGACGTGCGCTCCAGGGTACATCATGTGACCCGCCACTGAAGAAGGCACTGAGGACGTGACTATAGTAGCAGTGTGACTTACTGTGGGAGTGCAGAAGAGACACAGATGTTTGATTGACAGTACCAGGGAGACAATGGGCTATATACGTTCCGCATTTGACGCAAGGATGCTCGTCAGTTTACAATCTGATTCTGAACATGCATAGATTGTTTACAAATTAGAGCCAGACCGATATATCGGCAGGCCGATATTAGGCATTTTCTAAAATATCGGTATCGGCAGTTATAATGTTATAATGGCAGTTATAAAAACTTAGCTTTTCTTTTACACGTGTGTGAAATCCAACGACGCCAAGTGTGTGTTGCAGACTGTAATGGATTTAGATTAGAATCGCTAAATAGTACTTTTTAGAAGGCAGGCAGCAGCTGATGATTGAAAATGGTTTGATGCAGCTTGATGGAAAGAATTTAAAAAGTGGAGGTAAAGCTGACATTGTAATTATAAGGTAGCTTATAAGGCAATGTAGGGGCTAATTATTATTTTATTTATCAGAACTTTAATATATTTTGATGTTCCTCTGTTCTGTTGTGACAATAGAAACACGTTTCTTTTTAAAATGCATTATCATATTATTTTAGTTAAAACTCATAAATAACTACATATGAAGAGTTCAGATGCAAAAAGCCTCTAAGTGCCATTTGAAATTTTCTTCTAGAATGATCATTTTTATCAAGTATATTTAAGTTCAGTGATTTCACTTAAATGGCAATGATCATTACCTATTAATTGTTATTTAAGTGAAATTACTGAACTTAAATGTACAAGTTTGATTAAAATCATCATTAAAGACGAAAATTTCAAATGGCATTTAGAGGCTTTTGCATCTGAACTCTTCATATATAACTAATGTTAGGGAAATCTGTTTGTTTCGTTGCGCGTTTTTGAAATATAAAAAATAATAATATCGGCCGATATATCGGAATATCGGATTTTAAATCCAACAAATATTTGTAACGGTATCAGCCTTCAAAACGCTTTATCGGTCGGGCTCTATTACAAACTTGATTTTTTCTCTTTCAGATTCAGAAACTGTGAATGATTTGAAGGGCCCGAGGGAACCCTGCAGTGAGGGAGTCGGGGAGGAGTGTGTACCGGCCGAGTTGCTGGAGGTCTGGCTGATCTCGGGACTGCTGTCGCTGCTTTGAGGACTGGGGTGAACCTGGATGGCCTGTAGCTGTTGAGGCATCCCACCACCTGACACACAACAGCAGAAAACGCCCACAGTGCACCTTTAATACCAGGCACAATTATATACATCGATGGACTGCACACCCGACCACTAAAACCATTTCAAATAGTTTATAAAAGTTAAACTTAAAGGAGTAGTTCACTTTTTAAAAAACTTTTGCTGATAATTTACTCACCCCCATGTCATCCAAGATGTCCATATCTTTCTTTCTTCAGTCGAAAAGAAATTAAGGTTTTTGATGAAAACATTCCAGGATTTTCTCCATATAATGGACTTCAATGGGAACCAAACGATTCAAGGTCCAAAAGACAGTTTCAGTGCAAACTGTTCAAAGGGCTTTAAACCATTCCAGACAATGAATAAGGGTCTTATCAAGCGAAACGATCACTAATTTAAAAAAAAAAAAAAAAAAAAAATTAAGTTTTATAAGCTCAAACGCTCACCTTGCTCTGTTCTGTAACGCACTCCTGTTCAAACTCATTCATCAAAATTAACAAATCTTTTTCCGAGTAATTTGGTTCATTCGGCGAAAGAAAAGAACGAATTGATTCGGAAAAAGATTTGTTCATTTTGTTGAATGAGTTTGAACAGGAGTGCGTTAAAGAACAGAGCAAGGCGAGCGTTTGAGCTTATAAAACTTAAACTTTGTTATTTTTTAAAAAAAAATTAGCGATCGTTTCGCTTGATAAGACCCTTATTCATCGTCTGGAATCGTTTAAAGCCCTTTGAACAGTTTGCACTGAAACTGTCATTTGGACCTTGATTCGTTTGGTTCCCATTGAAGTCCATTATATGGAGAAAAATCCTGGAATGTTTTCATCAAAAACCTTAATTTCTTTTCGACTGAAGAAAGAAAGACATGGACATCTTGGATGACATGGGGGTGAGTAAATTATCAGCAAAAGTTTTTTGAAAATCGAACTACTCCTTTAAAAAAAAAACAATGTTACACGAAAAATGTAACCTAAAAAAATAATTAATAAATTAATTATATATATATATATATATAAAATGTAGAAATAGTGCCTCAACAAACAAACTGAAATAAAATAAGTTACGCTGAAGTACTAAAATCATTCAAACTAAAACTTATAAAAAATTATAATATAACCTATATGTAACTCATAAAAATAAAGCTAAATAGAAATATTTAAAAAATAAATTTTAAAAAATGCAAGCGCAAAAACCTTAAACTAAATAAACAATCCTAAAATAACGTGTCAATTACATGTCGTTTTAAACAGTATTTTAACGGTTTATTGGAAAATTACAAGAATTAAATAATATATATATTGGTGATGTACTGTTTGCGAGTAAAATAAAACAAGTCACATATGTCAAACTCGTTACATTTAACTTAATGTTTTGAAGAATCCCTTATTTTTTGCATTAGTTCTCTTACTTGAAATGCTATCAGTATAAAAAAATTATAATTCAGGAAAGCTGTAGCATGCAAATCCTGAATGATCCCCAAACACACATTTCCAGTCGAGTTTCCCTCCAGACTGCGACACACACACACACTGACCTGTAAGCGAGACAGCGGCCGGCAGACGGAAGAGCGTGGCCTGAGCGGCCGGTTGTGTGTGTGCGGGGACAGCGGAGGTGGAGGTGCTGGTGCTAGTCAAGGCGTGGCTGTTTTGCGTCTGTGGACACTGTATGGCCAGAGAGTGTGTCTGCAGCTGGCTGAGAGGAATAGTGTGTGTGCCAGGCGGGAGAGAGGCGCCTGCGGGACACACAGCGACACCCTCAGCAAGCCACGCAGAACTCGCATGTTCAAGGCCTAGTCACACCAAGCATGGTTTTACATACAAAACGAAGCGATTGGAGTCTCCAATTGAATACATTTCTTTAATATTTAAAGGTGTTAACTGTAAACGCAGAAAAATTATAACTTGCTAACTTAATAATTTAATGAATGAATTACACACACACACAAAAGTATGACAAAGCCCTAAAACACACAATTAATCGTCAAAGCCCAAAAACTGCCAATAAATCGGCATAACCACAATTATTTTTTAGACAATTAATCATCAGCCAAATTTAATAATCGTGACAGGCCTAATTGGCGAAAAAAAACATCCGTTTGAACAGATTCACAGTACCAGACTTATCATCTCGGGCATATTAAAACAAGCATATCACAATAAACATATCTCAAACTAGCGAGTCATGAGGCAAGGAAAGATCTCAAAATGCAAATCTTGAATGCGGTGTATGATCTTAAGTCTTTGATGTAAATGTTTGATGTGTGGGTCAATGGCAAACAAGAATGTTTACGATCATGCTTTCAATTCTTAGTTCAAAATGTAATATTTATATTAATGTTGGTTTCAGATGGTTTTATATTATTTTCAATAAAAATGTTTAAAAAGGTGGCTTGGTGGTGTAACCATCAAGCAAAAGTAACATTTTCCTTGCACTTTCACTGGATGCGAGTGTAAAATATAAAATATAAAGCTAAAATATAGCTTTCAAAGCTTTCTTTTTTTAACATATAGTATTGTTGTCTTGTGTATTAATGATTAATATTAGGTTTAGAGTCACCGCACCACATAAGATTTTTACCCCTGAACAACCCTTGTCATAAAAAGGTCTGTTTATCTGATATTGTAAGGGTTTAATTGTTCATGACACACTTTTTTCAAGCTGTTTGCACCACATGACTGATTTGGCAGACAAACGTTTTTTTTTTTTTTAAATAGCAATATTTTCCAAGAAAAAAATAAGGTCATGCCAACCTACTTTTTTGTTTTGAAGCTTTACTGAAATTTTGTATCTATCTAAAACTGATTTTTTTTAAATATTGTAAATAAAAGCACGCATAAACACACACAGACAGACACACAAACACACACAGATCTTTCAAAACAGAAACTTCCTAAATTGAATGATATTATGTTAATTTCATGTAAATTGTCTCAATGTATTGCAAATTTCTCTATGCTTGGATTGTTTGGTTGCATCGCTCCTGATGTGAATAGGCCTTTACACAGACGAATCAGTTGGAAGCAGAATTCAAAGAGTGCAAGCAAGCCAATACGTTCATGTGCATTAAAACAGGACAATGCAGTGCATCATGCAGCCCATCTGGAAAGTCAAATAAGAGTTAATCTGGACTAATCTGTCAAAGGAAGAAACAAACAGTCATGCAACAAAGGAAAGCCTGAACGCAGGGCCGCACCTGGCATGAGTGTGAATCCTCCGGGCAGCTGCATCACGCCAGCCGGAGAGCTTTTGAGCACGGTGCCGTTCGCACTGGAGACGCTCTGAGCGCTCATGGGCCAACAGGTGGTGCCGGACAGCGAGGGGATGCTGCTGTGAGTGTGTGTGTGTGTGTGCATGGCCACCGAGGAGGAGGAGGGAGAGGAAGATGCCGAGGACTGTGTGGTCGTGCTGTTGGTGCCTCCAGGTAAAGAGGCAGAAGTGAACGTGGGCTTCATCATTTCCTGCAACAACAAAGGCAGAAATCAAAAGATTTTCAGGTGCAGTTTTTGTTTGTTTGTCACAATGCAACATAGATATGCTCAAATCAGCATTTAGACTGATACTAGTGCTAAAGGGCATTAGATAACTTCACTGATAAACTTTTAATATTAATACGTTGAATACTTTAAGTTAACTTGACAGGTGGCATATTTGTGTGTGTGTGTGTAATCTGTGTATATAATATGTAAAAATATACACACATTTAAAATCATTAATGCATAACAGATAAATAGTGGATGAATTGGAAAAAGTATTAATCAAACTAACATTTGTATTGTAACTATTTGAATTAGTGGTCGACCGATATATCGGCATTTTTAAAATATCGGCGTCGGCCGATAAGTTTTTCTGATTGGCCGATGTGTTGGAGGCGGGACTTTTATTTTGACGGCTTCAGAACTGGTAATCAAATAAAGTAAACGGTATGTGAAAAAGTAATGCGTTTGCGTTTATATAATTTGTAACAGAAAAGGCAAACATTCAGCCTAAAATACTTTCTCATTTACCGTCAACATTCAGCAAATGCGCATCTACATCATTTAAACAAATCTCTGAATATCTAATAAACATTTAAAGGTGGAATACCTAAGATTTTTGCCAGTGTTATATATTTAGTTAAGATGATAACTTACAATATTCCAAATGTTTCAAACAATGTTTAAATCGCGAGAAAATTGAGATTTTAACAATCGCGTCATATCCGTTTACCTCGGTTTCCGCTCGTACTGCGTGTGTCCTGGACAAATGTGGAAGTTGTAGTTGTGCGTTAGCGTCTATCACGCAACAAACGTCAGCTTGTTTCGCGCATTTGTTATGGAATGGAGCACAATTTTTCTTTAGCGATTGCACCAGGTTCTGTCGACAAAGACAAGTCTCATAAATGCAAACGTCAACGAACGGGTCAACCAAACGACCCAAGAAGAATTTGGGAGAAGAGAAATAAAACCAGCTCAACATCGGTGTGGCATTTCCGAAATGGAGAGACCTTCGTGAAAAACTCTAACTAGAAAGAGACGCAGATCTTGCATGTGTTTTACTTGACAGGTGAGTAACACCGTGTTCTGTATTCAAATTTCATGTCAGTAAACCATGCAAAACAATTAGTATTATTGTTAGAATGTCTTGTTGTCTATGCATATGATGTGAAAAATCGTAAGGTCATATTCACCGCGAATACTTCTCTGAATGTGAACAACGTTTATCTGAAAAGTGTTTCAACCGTCCCGGCTCTCCCCTAACATCTGTGATAACTAATTTACTGTTAAACCTTTTCTTGCGGTTATTTCATTTTATAATGAAAAACAAGCATGTCATTAAACGCAACAGTTATAGAAATCGAACTTTACCTAATCCATGACAACTAATTTTCGATTCCCGTCTGAATGATAACAGTTCCCATCATTCTGCGTTCCTCCACGGCGTCATCAAGCAGAGCCGTCGTTGTTTTGAATGTAGCGCCCTCTAGCGGCATAAAATCTTAGGTATTGTAGATTTAATTTCACAAACCTTGCAGATTTAATCGAATGCAGCTGTGGTATCTTATGAAGTGTGCATTTGTAGCCGGCATTAACGTTACCGCGAGTGACTGAATGCGAACAGAAGTTCGGCTTCACAGCAGACGCGATCGAAACATTTTAAATCCTTTATTTAAAAATATGCGGTGCTATATCCAGTTGCCCACTGTGTCATATTCATGTTGTTTTCACTGCTGTATGTAAAATTAGCGTTGCCTTGTCAAAAGTTAAAGTCAAAAAAAGTATTTAAAAAAAGATTATCAGTGTGCATGAAATTACCAGATTACTGAGTGCCCTGTTACAGTCTTTTATTAAATTTTTATTTACATATTAATATGTTTTTTAAACAATGACTTTATTTGTGAAAAAAAAAAAAAAACTGTATGGGATTGCAGATTCAAGAAGTTGCCATCTAAAGTATAGGGCCTAAACATGTTTATTTTAAAGATTTTTTTAAATGTAAGTTTATTAAATTTATCTAATTTATTAAATATTTATTTAAACAAACACACATATATATATATATATATATATATATATATATGTATATATATATATACTGTATATAAATAAATTTAGGCTTTATTTTGGCCAACCCGCTCTCTCAGATATCGGCATCGGCCATCAAAACACCCATATCGGCCAACCAATAATGTGAATGTATTTTCCTTAATACATGAAGCATTATATAATAAATATACTCGTAATATTCAAAAAGATATTATATAACGTTAACAACATTCTACGAGTGAAGTCTTTGCTCAAGTATAATTATGTTTGAGTAATTATGCAGACTGTTTTGTGACAAAAAAGCAGAACCATTATACATTGCATAATGTAATAATGGCCATTTCTCAAAAAACACTTCACAAATGAAAGGTACTTCATCTTTTTGTATTATGTGGAACGCATATATTTGAAAGTCGATGGACACAAACCAAAATATAGGACTATTCATAAGTCTGGGGTCACTTTCATTAAAAGAACGAAAACGTCGAAAACTTTCTTAACAAAAAAAAAAAAAAGATAATCTTTTGTGGTCCACAGAAGAAAGATGAAATAATCATTTAACATTAACTTCACGTCACAGTGGTGGACCAGGAGTGATTGATCGCAGCAGAGCCTGTGGCAACAACTGCGTGTGATAAAGGCAATTGTGTCATGGCTATCCCGAGAACGGCAGCTGCCTTCACAGGAAAACAGGTGTCCACACAGCGAGAGAGAGCGCGCTGCTATTTCAGGCGGCGCTCATCAAAACCCTCCAAACGGGGACGACGGATCTGGAAAGCATTTTCTCCTCGCCATCAGAAGAAGGGTGCAAGAACATGCAGCAAACAACCAAACTGAGCTTGACTAGAGCAGATCTGATCTGGATTTAGACCATCAATAAAACATGAACGTTTTACCAATCTTGATACCAATTTTGATACAACGGCAAAAATGAGTCTGAAGTAAGCATTGGTAAACATTACAATACAATCAAATTGGTACAGGAGCTTTTTCTTTTAATATTGAAGTTTATTTAATCGTTAAAGTCCCCCTGAGGTGAAAATCCAGCTTTTAATGTTTATAAGTGTATGTTTTTAATATGCTTTAAGACAAACTATCTGTAGATTCATAAGTCGACAGCATTGCTGAGTACTGTCTCTTTAAAACTGCAGTGGACCAAAGACGGTCTCAAAAACACGGTTTGAAATGTATCTGATGTCACAAATTTGTAACCAATCAGGTCAACGTGTGATCATCTGCTGTGAGTGTGTGGAGGCGGGGCTAATTTGCATATATCGCCGTATAAAAGGCATGAAGACAATTTTTTTAAAGGAAAAAAAAATTAAATACATAATTTTGGTGATTAAAATTACTGACTACAGGGGACTTTAACAAAGCTATATATATTGGAATACATGGTGCATAATCCGACCGGAATGCAATGATGTGATGTCCTACCTGTCATCACACGTCATCAGCACTTTCGGTAAGGTATAGAGGGTATAGAGTTCGATATATCCACCAACTGAATTGCCTCGATACTATCGAGTATCAAAAAATGTCTTGACTCGGAAAACAGTCACGACAAGTCAAACCACGAACGACGTGCTGAGTGATCTGAACTGTATGAAGTTCAGCGAACTTCTGAACTTTATGAATGGCGTTCGTAGTTTGACTTATCGTGACTGTTTTCCAAGATGGCTCCTGTCTGTATACACGAAGTGAACTGTCTTTATAAAGTATCTTCTTATTAAACAGTCTGTACATTTACAAAGTTCTCAATGCTTCGTTTTGCATGTATGGACCCTCATTATGTTACTGTGTTAGTGTAGGGCTATTTTGAGCCTTGTTAGTGGTATAAACTAGCGATTTATTTTTACTTAGTAAATGCCCCCAATGCTAGCATTATACGCTAAACCGTTTTTAGAGATAAAACTCTTTATATTCGATTATCATGAAAACAAATCTCAGAGAATGGTCGACTAGGTACTGATGTTTTATAAGACCGAGTTCTCCTTTAATTACCTCGTTAGTAAACCAATCGCACACAAAAGCGAAAAGCTTGAATCTCCTCCACATAAAACTCAAAACAAACACCCAGGCTAAGAGGAGCAGTCGCATGCAGTTCAACGTCACTACATAAACTTCCCGCCCCGACCGGTACTTTAGTACGCGGTGTAAACGCAGTAAGCAAGCGGTCTGGGGCAATGAAAAAAGTTCCTGGGACAAATAGTTCCTGGTAATTGCGGTGGAAACGTGGCTATAGTAAGCAACAATGATAAAACAAGGCTATTTTTATGTTTGTGTTCTGATGATGTCAACTATAGGGAGATGATAAGGGCCTTAACCCCCAGATATCAGTCCCCCAGCCGAGACGCACTCAAGTACCCTCATATCAGCATCACATGCAGTAGAGGAAGAAAACGCCAAGAAAGAGTTGCAAGATGTGAGGGATGTGTCTGTTACTGCTGATGGCTGGACCTTTACAGCCCCTTTTCCACCAAAGCATTTTGGGAGCCGGTGCCTGCGCGCGAACCAGTTCTTTGTGTTTCGACAGCCAAAGAACCGGTTCTCGGCCAGGAGAACTGGTACCAAAGCGGCACAAACTCTTTGCTGGACTAGAACCGTTTTTTTTTACCACGTCATGCTTACGTCGGGGGCTGGGCCGGGTTTAGACATGTCCTAAACATCTTTTCTGGCCATAATAAAGGATCGCAAAGCCAAGAGTAACATTTGCAGAAACACGATGGAGTCCGCCTTTGTAACTGTTATGCTTGAAGTTAACACAAGCGTTTCTATTTTTATCATTTTTTTATTTGAAGACATTTTAAGCAAAGAAGAAAACAGTTAGTACAAATAAATGGAAAGAAAAAAAAGAAAGACACAAGACAGGGGTACATAACTTATCAGAAAAGATACATATTAAACGAAAAGATTAAAAGATTTACATATTTCAATTGTTTTTAAACCCTTCTTGGTACATGAGTTAGATATAATCCCAAAGTAATGTTGTACTTGCAAGCGTTTCTAGCTAGTATGGCGACGTACACAGTGACGTAACGACGTCGTTCCCTGGACGCTCTAGTCAGTGGAAAAACAAATTCAAAAACGGTTCGCAAGTTGAACCAACTCCGAACCAACTTTGAACCAGCACCAGTTCCGAACCAGTTCTTTTTTTGGTGGAAAAGGGGTACACCTGATGTGAGAGAGGGCTCCATGAAAGAGAAAGTAGAAGAGATTCAATATAAAGGACACACTGTAAAAAAATATTTTCAAGATTTGTTATCACAACATATTTTATTTTATCAAATCAACTTTATAATAATTTATTTAGTTCAGATAACGTATTATTTTGAGTTTCAGATTATTAAATCAATCTCCTTCATTGCATTAACTCACTTTTTCCAGTTCAATCAACTTAAAATTAAGGCAACCAGGTTACGTACTTTTTTAAGTTAAACAAACAATATTTTTTACAGTGAGAGTCAATGCGGTTACAGCAGATAATACAGCAAATATTGAAGCAATAAAAAAAAAAATACAGCGCATGACAACTGAAGTAAGAACAAAGACCACTATCAGCAGCTCTACAGGGAAGGTTCAGGCTTTCCGATTACCTCCATCTACGCCATCCTCAGTGAGTCCAGAAGCCCGGTGGGAGGACACAAGGGGTACTCTGCCAACGCTTATGGATTTGCCAACGAGGCATGTCCGTTTGCAAGCATCATCTACATGTTCTACTGCTGGGATATTATCAGTCAATCACATTTTGCACTGAAAACTAGGCTTGAACTTTATTAACTCTATTGATTTTTTGTGCAAGTTACATTTTGTTGCTTGCTTTGTGCTCTGGCTCAGGAGATAAGACAGTAAAATAAATCAACAAACTGGAAAAATATTTTTTTTTTGAGACAACATAACCAAAAAAACCCTGCCCAAACAGTGACAAAGAAAATGATCTGATGGTCATGGTCATCAGCTCAACAAGTTGAGGATCTGCTTTAAGCTTAATTTTAAACAGAGGTTTGGTTTCCTCATTCTGCGTGCTCCCCCTCACTACTTGCCCTAAATCAGTAGAGAAAAGGGGGGGATATGTCATCCAAATTTGAAAACAGCTGCAGCTTATACGGAATGTGATCAGCCATGAGCCAAGAAAGTGTACTGGGAAAACCAGACTATATAAGGACATGTAGACAGCATCTAATCCTTATCAATGAGAGTTGGACATTGTGAATAATAGACGCTGCCATGCAAAGACGTGCTCGGGGTGACGCAAATGTTCTTAAATGTGGGCAAAACTGGTGTTTGCATGATAAATACTGAGAGTGGAAAAGGGGTTTTGGGTGAAAGTCGTGCATGTCTGATTTCTTTCAACGTTAAAACGAGCTATTGTAGTCTGGAAAACTGAGACCTACAAAGGTCAAGAAACACAGGAATGGGAAAAGGTTTCCATTAAAGTGAAACTCGAATGATGGACTATGCGATGGAACTAAACCATCAACCAACTAGTCGGAGAAGACCAATCTAGACTAAACTTGATTAATGAGGTCAACTACAATGTTTTAGATTTTTTTTTTCCTACTTCAAATTGGACATAAATCTGTTGCGCCACGCATCCCGAATCAAGCTTTTTACTAACTTTCAAAACAAATGTTTAGACTGTTGTGTACAGTAATCCAGCTACTGTGAACAATGCGTCTTAAGTGAACAAACGGAGAGTTTCTGATCTGCGCAATTTTTTTTTTTTTTTTTTTTTTAATTCAATTCAATGACTATTCTTTATGACGGTAAATTAATGAAAGCATTGAAGCCTACATGCTGTTTAAACCAAAATATTGATGATATTGAGAAATATTGCTTTCAAAATCAAGTGAAAAATAAGCAACCTTCTACGCGCACATTATAATTATTATTAGTAGTAGTATTTTTAATTAATGTTATTATAATTAATATAATATAATTATTACGGTCAATTACTTTAAGTTAAGCCAAACTTTTATTTTGATGGGTTGCCGTGAAGACCTTTGAGTTTTTGTGTGTGTATGATCTTACGATAGTTTTTCTCAACTGAAACGGTAAAATTCTCATAAAGCGACTCTCGGAGATCAGGAGATAAATTGAATCATGAATCGGCATCATATCGTGAGGCAGCAGAGACTGAAAACAGACTCGTGCTACAGTATGTGTTTGTGTGTGTGAGGTAACGTTAAATGAAACCTCGCGTCTGTGCCGTTCATTCGCACAGAGACAAGCAGAACATGCAGGGTTCTAGGGCTGCAGCTATCGATTCTTTTTGTAATCGATTAATCTAGCACTTAATCGATCGATTAATCGAGTAATCGGATAATTTGTTTATGTGTGCTTTTAAGCAACCAAAACAAATAATGTATTACGAAAATGATAAGGTGTTCGGCTTTTATTTCTTTAAAAAAATAGAGGTATTTATTCCAACTGCAACATTTGGCTCCACAACTAATTATTGCAATTTTTACCCTTTTAGTGTTTATGCCAGTGCCAACAACAATTATACAACAATACAGTTAAAAGAATTTACTGTAAAACCTGTTACATGTAGCCCATAACATGTAAAACTTTGAATACAAACTTAAATAGTAAAGCCCATTTGGCCTTAGTTTTGTCTTCTTAATACAACATTACAAAAAAAGAAATGCACCTTCTGCAAATTACCCACCTGGAAACAAAAATAAATTAATATAAAATATCAACCCAAGTACACAAATGTGTACAATTTATATATATAAAAAAAAATGGAAATAAAATAATTATAAATAAGAATCAGACTTTTTCAACTGTAATCTCAAGACAAACATCAGAGTGTGTGTGTGTCTCACAATATTTGTTCCTCCATCACGTCCCGCTGTATACAGTGAACGTATGCTAAAATTGTTGTTGCGTGACTACATAAAAGTTTAAGCATATGCCGCAATTGGTCTGACTGGCGCGTGAGAGAGACATGGGTGCACGCGCTTGCTTACCTCTCTGCCGTCGTGCGCGAGCCGCGGTTAGGAGCTCAACATCTCGCATGCACGCTCGCTCTAGATTACAGGATATTTTAACTTGCGAATTAATATGCGGCGGTAAAACTAGTCGATCACGAGTGGCTCAACAGGTAGATCTATAGACGAACTCATCTTTCATGCATTAGACCGAAGGGATTGACACTTCAGCGTGAGAAATCGGGGGTATGGCGTGACGGTGAGAATTGGCTCAATTGCGCGAGTCTCACGCTGAATGCGTGAGAGTTGGCAGCCCTGCTAGGTATACTTTGCAGACACATTGCATCTTGTTCTCTCCCTTTATAAACATATAATGATCCCAAACTTTAGACATTCTTTGCCATTTATGAAGTCAAATGTATCATGCACTATGGTGCGCTTCCTGAACAACGGTCCGTGTGAAACAATCAGATCCCTGCATGCGCGTAAAATGCGCGTCGTAGGAATTTAACGAGGCAGATTTTTTGCCTCGAGGAATTTTTGAATCGTTTCAGCCCTACAGGGTTCATATTTAAATAGTCTTTTTGCAGTTTAATATACACAGACACACATCAGGAGCACCACCGGTCGCCATGTCTCTGCGCTTGGGACTTGGTACGTCACTACCGTGATGTTTAAAAAATGTTAAGAACCGACTTGGTACCGAAGTACCGAATTTTTTGACAACACTACCGCATTTTTAAGATCTCAAGACCCATTGCGCTAGATCCATTCTTGCCACCGTGAACAGAAAAATGCGTCCTAAGTGAACACTGCTTACAAAAGCAACAATTCTAAACAAGTGTAATTTTACAGAACTTGCTTTTGACCACCTAGTAGATTGAAAATACGTAGTAGTAAAGCTGTACCTTTGGCTCTGTGAGACCATCGGCCTCTGAGACCTGGTAGGTGAGATCCGTCTCCTCGAATCCCGTGGCACTCATCCGCTGGTCTGTTGAAGGGTCCGTCCGGGGTGGAGAGTCAGGGGAGTTCAGGCAGGTCTGGATGAGGGCTTTACCCGTCTCACTGGTGATCATGGGCTGAAGTTTCCGCGTGGCAAATGTGTAGACGTGGCCTGTCTCACTGGCAACCAAGAGCAGAACTTGCGTCCCTGTTAAGGTGGACAGTTCGTAAGCCTGGAAATTGAGAAGAAAGCAAGAAAACAATAAGATCATCTATTCTAAAGAGTGGACACTAACTTATAAGCACTGGTAAACTTGATTGAGTGGACAACAGTGATGATAAACATCACAAAGTGTACGCGCCAAATAAATTCAACTGCGATTGTGTGACGCAATGCAGCTGTATTTGTGATTCTTGTGGTTGTAATGAGGTTGAGAGAAGGATGAGAGGTGATGACAGCAGCCCAATGAAAAGATATAAAGGAACTTATAAGCAGGGATTAACTGCAACTAATAAGCCAGTTCCTGGAGAACCTACAGCAGGTTGTCAGTACACACTCCATGCCCGACTTCTGCAACTAGGCCGGTTCTCGAGATATGCAAATGCATTAATGAAGTCTACCGCAGTGGTAACCTGATCAGTCATATGGCCTATTTCTGCTGAGACAGGAATGAATGACAATTGAGGGGGCAATGACAAACGAGTCAGAACAGATGAGGAAACTACCTTCAACTGAGACAGAGAATGCATCAGAAAGTAACAGAGAGGAGCGATATATGATGGTGTGGAATAAACTAGTAGCTATAGAACTAGTACTTGTAAAGTAGAAGGGTATAAATAATGTACTAGCTTGTTAACTACTAGTATTGGCATAGTTCTTGTAACAGTATAGTTTAACACCAGTGTTAGTGAACTACATCAACACAGCAGTATGGCACTCGCATATGTTAGGTTTGTGGTTTGGCACCACAAGTCGTAAAGTACGGTAGTAGTCAACATTTGAAGTGGATCAAAAAAGTTGTCAGAACAAGACAAGAACGAGTATTGTTCAAAATTCATGTATAACTTTGATGAAAGGTTTTGATCCACTTCAAATGTTGACTACTGTAGTATGAGTACACAAATATAGTAGTATAGGATTAGTAAAGGTAAAGGTATAATGGTTCTAGTATCAGCATAGCTTGAGTATCAGTATAGTTAGTAATACAATTAATACAGCACAATCAGTATTTAGTGCTAGTATTGGTACAGTACTATCTATCTGTAAAATCATATAGCACCAATAATGGAGCAATAACAACATTAGCATGTTGATAAAGTCCTAACAGTTACATAACTAGTGCACTAAAGTAGTAGTAGTACTAGCATGTTAAGTCATATTGGTATAGTACTTTACAGTACGTTACAGTATAGTCTAACACCAATGGCCTAGTATCCGTTAAGCACAAGTACAGTTATAAGTTTATAGTTTTATGGAACAAGTGAACTAGTAACAGTATAGTAGGGTTATCAGTATAGATACAAAGCTAGTAAAAGTATAATACTAGTGTGAGTGGTGGTACTAGAGTACTAGCAATTTACTTGTTACAGCACTAGTAATGGGATGGTACTAGTATGGTTCAATAGCTCCATCAATTAGTTAAAAGACACTATCAGTGATACAGTGTGAGTGATAGAGATAGTAACAGTATATTAGTACATGATATGTATGAAAACTAGTACCAATAACTTTACTATTTTACCAATTTTACCAAACTTTACCAATTAAGTTTACTAGTATCAATAAATGGCAAATAAATAACCAATAATAGCGGTTCCAGTATTAGTATGAGTAATAGTTTAGCAGAAGTCATCATCACATCATTATAATGGATGCTGATAGTAACATGGTGCAATGCTAGTGTCAGTAAATTGTAGTTAGTACAAGTATTGATACAGAATTAGTATCAGCACATTGATACATTACCAGGATACAATTAAATAGTATAATGGTACTAGGGTCAGTAACTGTGCTATTATAAGTTGATTAGTACTAGTAGTGAAAATTCTACAGTATTATAATCAGTAATGACATTATAATCAATATAATGCAATTAATACTAGTATTCCTACAGTATAACAATCAGTATAGTAATATTAATACTAGTAGTGATTAATAGTTGTATTAGTAGAGCACCAGTTGTAGTACCAGTATTAGCATAGTGGGTTAGCACTAGTAATATTGGTGTCGTACATGTTCTGGTTGAACGTACCTTCTTCATAATGCCAGTCTTTCTCTTACTGAAGGTCGTGTATCTCCTCAGCTTGTTGTCAATAAACTCCATCTTAATTTTAACCCGTCCTCGCGTTTTCTTGCCGGGTTTTGCACCCGCCACCCCGCTGGAAACTCCTCCATACCCCGCCGACAGAGCAGCGATAGCTCCCGAGGATCCCCCGACCTCCATCTCGCTCCTCTCCCGCTTCACTCCTCTCCTGTCCAGCACGGGACTCTCTTCATCATCCCCGGAGTCCGAGTCTCCATCAGAGCCGCTGAGCACTGCCTCGACCGACGGCCTGTCGTCGTATCTGCCCCCATCGGGCAGGTTTATGGAGGAGTTCACCGCCCCTAAAGCCCCAGATGTGGTGCCCACCTGTAGATGGGTCAAGCCTGTGCCGTTACCTGAGCGTCCAGCCCCCCTGGCCTTCCCGTTTCCCCCCAACATCTCCGAACCCCCGACCCGCTAGCAGCACCACTGCAGTCTGCGGTAGGTGTTAAGAGTTAGCCGATCAAACCCAGCCGATCTCTTCACTTGATAACGTTACCGAACTTACCCTGCATATGCTAGGCTAAGAAACATTAGCTCAAATAAGCATACAACTAGAACTAAACGCGAGCTATCCTTAATTTGATTTCTGCACGAAAGACGTCTTGTAAACTACCAAAATACACCTTTCAAAACTAGCCGTTACGACCATCGTACAAAGTTTACAACGTATAGTTTCCGCCTACAGTCCATCAATCAAACCTCAACTGAACTTACGCCACATTTGGAAACGACGAATCGCGACCACACAATGTACCTCCGCGACCAGAACTAGTTACCAACAGCAACGTCGATATCACGCTTGATATTTCACGTCGAACACGTAAATTACAAAAGTTTGGCTTTATGGAGATTTTAATGTTTTTTGGGGGGGTGTAAAGAATGATTCCGCGCTTATTTAATGAATTTAACTCACGAAGACGTTCACCCAAAGATCTACTTTCCTCCATATAAAGCGAGTCGATGTTTCCTTATATGGTGATGGCTGTCCATGTATGGTGAGTCACAGTGCTGCGCTGCGATTGGCTACGCAAACCGCTCCGACTTTGTGATTGGTTCAAATCTGATTTGGCCGACTGAAATGGCTTACGTCATACACAACGAACTGGCTGTGCTTGGACCTTAGACTTGGATATTAATATTACCGACATTTCTGGCGGGAAGTGTGTGATAAGGTAAATCAAAATTACTGTCTTTTAAAACAAAAACTGTTTTGTGAGACTGACCTCTGTCAGATGCCAGCTACGTAATCTGTGTAAATGATGCGATACTCCGTATAACCAGCAGATGAAGCTGTTACACTAATTATTGGTTTAAAGTTCACTAAACTCAGGATTTTACCGCCTCACGCATTTAATTTGCTTACAACTCTTTTTTTACACATTTATCAGTCTTCCATTTTAGACCATGTAAGTTATCTTTTTGTTCTGACAATTACAGTGTAATTGCTTTATGGTAGACATGCTTCAGCTGGTTGCAAACACTATTTTAACTTAAGAAAATCTTTCGAAATATCACCCATACAAGCAATATTTTAAAGGTTTTGCACCGGGCCCTGTAAATACAAACATTTTACACCAATATTACAATATTAGTAAAGTAATGAGGCAATCTAGGCACGTTTTGTACAATTAACTCACCAAACCTCATGTTTCTCACATAAAACCACCAGAGAGATGAATACCTAATAATATTTCCACATTATTAAAAAAAAAAAAAAAAAACGTTAGCCATAATCAGTTAGATAATAACTTTATATTCTACTTTAATGTTTTTAGAATTTTCCTATAATTCTCCACAGGTTATTATTTTTTTTTGTATACACTCAACACTTAGTTCATAGCCCACTTTTTCTTTTTTATACATTGAAATAAGCAAAGACATGGAGTTCATGTATGACTTGTATGCTTTCTGTAAATGAGTTGGCTTCCAGTGTGTAAATATTCCTTCAGGAACTGCTCAACTATTGTCATGACAACATCACATAGTTATATATTCCCATCTGTAACCACAGGAGGTAATAACTGCAGATGAATCTTGGTGGTCCTCCTAAACTGTTCCAGCAATATACCAAACTGACCCATGCATGTTATGCAATAGCAAAAGATTTTTCATCATGAGCGTTTTCTTTTCTGATGGTTTGTTTGTTTTTATACAGATATATAGATATTTTTTTTACATGAAGCAAGTGAATGAATAAGCAAATTAAAAATGACACAATTGTTATTGAATTTATTTTTATTTCCAAACACCTTGCAGCCGAATAAATGGCACAAAGGCTAAGAATGAGTTAAAAAAAAGTGCAACTTGAGAAAATACTGAAAATAAAGAAACATAAAAGATAGGTGCAAATCCAATTCATTTTAGTTTGTTAACAATTACAAAGACCCTTGTTGTCATCACTGAGCAAAACAACATGTCCACACCAATTTAGATAAA